ATTTTAAATACATGAGATCTTTAGTAACTTCTGCCTAAATTTGTGACTCTGTATTGAGTTGTTAAAAACATTTTATTGTAATTTAGCAGAAAAAAAGCAATCTATGTAAAGTCACTACCAAAACAAAAAACATTTTAAATCCTCCATAAACAGAAAAATAAAATAAGAAAAGCACACAGCATGTTTTGTGTATCATTCAGCTTCAGCTCTCCACCGATGAAGCTGCTATGTCATGTTTTATTTTCGACATGTAAACAAGAGTATCATCAGCATAGAGCGCTACATAAACACTGACCACACTGTTTAAAAGGGTCAACAGTGAACCTGCAGACAAAACAACACACTGAATTTTTACAAGTTTACTTTCTTTGTGAGCTTTTTGTTCCTGGTCAATGTGTGTGCTTGTATTCATATCTTCCTGTACATTTTATTCTCTGTGGTGTGTGAAATTATAAAGAGAGCTTGTTACGAGAGACTGAGGCCTGATTAATTAAGAAAGCATCTTAGCGCTAATAGCTCTAAACATTGCGCATCATTTGCTAAAAGTATTATACAAAACAATAACATTTACTGTATATAATATAGGATTTGTTTTACACTGATGCAAAATGTTGTTTGATCATAATTGCATATATTAGTCGTGATTGACATTTTTAAATTCATCTAAGCGATATAGGAGATACATTTATGAGATGATGGTGGGATAGAAAATAGAGTAAAACATAGTCATCCAGCATGTGTGCAGTTTGTGGACGGACTCTTGTTCCTGAGGACGGTCAGCAGGAAGAGTCCACAGCAGTACACCAGACTCTTCACTGTCAGCACTGTGTAGAGCAGCAAGAGCAGCTTCACCTTGTATGGAGACGGGACAGAGGGATCCGCTGCAGGTGATGGAACAGAAAAAGAATAAAATCATCAACAACGTCAGTCCTCTGTTGAACTTTGTCTGATAGATCTGTAAGACAGAGGCAGTACATCCAGACTCTCTGAGCTCCAGCTGCTGTCCGTCAGCAGAGGGCAGCTCTCTAAACATCCACTCTCCGTGTGTCTCCAGGAGATTCTGACCACAGGAGGAAACATGGGAGGCCACACACAGCAGGGAGCACTAGAAGTGACGTGAGGGTAAACTTGTGGATGTTATGAGAGCAGCCCACTCAAATATGACACATTTTGCTTAATTTTTGCAGGTTTGCTGTTTAACAGGAAGACACAGCAGAAAATAGGCTTCCGTTTTTATTTCTAGGGTACTGTGAGGCCATATAAGGCTGACTAATGAGAAAATGAATTTTGAAGCCTCAGTTGTGATTTTGCAGCTCCTTTGTCTCTTCTTTACACAAATGCATCAAACATCCCAGTTCATCAGTATCTGTCACTGGCATACTCTTCTTGTGGCATGAACTCTACTTGTATCACATCTGGCTCACTTACCATGTGTGAGAATAGCAGCAAGCGGTGCGAGGAGCCAGCAGGGTGGGCACTATTCCCCTGTGACTCGACCACAAAGCACCGATTCATCTGCCTTTACATACACTAGAATATTTGTCAACTTTGTGGCCTGTGTGTATGTGTGCTCGCTCTAACATGCTCTGTTCAGACTGCTCTTCAGCACATAGAAGTCTGTTTCTTGAAATAAGTCATTGATATACAAACTCAAGGTCAAACTAGGGAGGCATATATCAAACAAAGCAGATAAAATCCCTGCAAACAGTCTGCAGGCTGTTTTAAGATAAGACATCCTGATGAGAATAAGATACATGACACAGAGGCTGGAATCATAGTGATGTAAAGGTTAATACAGAGATGAAACGTTTCATGCAGGATATATATTTTGGAGCTTCGGTGATGACCTCAAAAAAGCCAAAGAAATAACAACATAACATAAAACATTTTCCATTCACGCTGGAAAAATGACATGAAAGGAATAATTGAACATGTTTCAACCAACACACTCATTTTTACATTTTTATCCGACATACTTCTACAAGTCTTTATACTTTTACAAAATGGGAGCTTCCCATTGACGGAGATCAAATGAAGATTAACTTCATGGTGTACTCTTTTTCCCTTGCATATGTGAGGATCATCTCCAGTGTTGCCTGTTAACAAGAGATAAGCTCCGACTCCTATCTCTTCATATAGTGGACAGAACTTAAAATAAAGCAGCCTCCCTGCATGCCTTAGATGAGTTACCTGGATGGCTCCAACCTAAGACTTCATGGGAGACATCACTGCTAATGTTGCAAAAATGCTGAGTCATGGAATGACAGGAATTTTTCCGTTATTAAATTGACAACACAAGTATTAACCATGGATACTTCACAAGTGTACGTGGCAGAAAAGTGGCAGGCCAAAGATGGATGATGAACTCTGCAGTCATAACTCCAGATCTGAAGTCTGTCTTGGACACTTGAGTAAAGAGAAATGCAGAGCTGTCAACTGATGACCACCTATGGTAAGTTGGATCAGTGATTGGGGAAGCTGCTATCCCTAATCAGGCTCAACGTGCAGTAGAGGTGAAATGGGTTCCTGCTCAGAGGATCCTCAACTTCTACCTTTGTAGAAACTTTTCTGCTTTAAAGGGAGGTTCAGGCCGTACAGACATTGGGGGTGCCACCTTCAGGTCTGCAAATTCTTATTTTTGTTCCAGTTGTTTTACACAAAAATAAAAAAAAATAAATGTTTCTAAAACATTTTATTAAAGATTAATATTCTGGGTATAAAAGCCTCACTGGTTCGGCCCACAGACTGTTTTAAAGTTTCAATCTTGATCATATTTGATATACTATGTTTTCATTTGTTGATTTGGTATTAGTAATGAGTTCTTTAGTGATACATTTTCAGAACAGCCTTATCTGCAGAAAGTTATTCCAGTTAGACACAGTTTTTTATTATAATTAATAATAAGTGTTACGTTGGCTGTAAACAATTATATTTATAAAAAGTGTTGATTTTAACAAGACATAGTCAGCCACTATATTCACATGGCAGCCATTTTCCTCTGAATCGATGCTAATGTGTTAGCCGTCTCACAGCTGTGTGCTGTATGGGCTATCCCTAAAATTTGATATCTGACAAGTTCTTCGCATGTATGTGTGCACATACATGCTTCCATTATGCCATATCACATGACATCACAACATTTCATTTCATAAAGATTCTGATGACATCAAATTATGTATATCCAATTATAAAACCATCCAAATGTTATAAACAAAGCTACAAAGCTGATGAATCAATGAGACGCTGTATGTCACAAAACTTCCACCAATTCAATTCTGACAAAAGTGATATCTGTCGTTTTGCTTTTATTTCGTTATGTCTAGATTATTGTAATGCACTTGTTTACCTGCTTCAGTACACGAGCCACAAACAAACTTCAGATCTCTGCAACCAGACTTCTCATAAAGACAAAGCAAACCTGACACATCACCTCTGTTTAAGCTTCACTTCACTGATTACCTGTTTCTTTATTCATTATTAAATTTGACTCATTCCCTAAAAGGCTTTACATGGCCTGGCACTAGAATACACCAGCAGATTTTTTTAACGCCTTGCTGCCCCAAAAAGTCCTCTTAGATCGGCCACATGAGACCTGCTCATCATATCAAAGTCAAGTATGATGTCGAGGTCAAAGGTTAATCAAGCTTTTGCTGTGATGGCTCCTCAGCTCTGAAACAGACTCCCACTCAGGGAGCAGACTCTGTTTCTGCTTTTAAAATCCTGTTTTAAGACACAGTTTTATAGACTCACCTTTTTAGCCAACAGCTTATTTTATAAGAGCCCTGGAGTACATTTTTTAACTGAACTAAAATAATCTTTTAACTGTATATTTACATTTTGATGTTTTGTGATTTTATTTTCCAATTGTGATGTTTTCTCACTTATCTCTGGAAAGCCCTTTAATGCTCTCGTTCTTAGTGTTATATAAATAAAGTATTGTTACCTAAATGCAAGATAACACTGCTGCTTAGTGATAATAGTCTGATTAGATCAAATTCTCTACAAACGATGGCACTGGATAACAAGCATCTGCTGCCCCTTGTGGATAAAAGAGACTTCAAGAAACATAAAGCCTGAAAGAAAACAACCATCAGGTGTTCATCACTGAGCAATCTTCAAAGATTTAGAAAGGATAGACACATTATTTTATTAAGTTGTAATTGTTTGAATACTTCTTCTGTCTGGCTGTTGGACCCATGACCTTTACACGTGCTGCTGCACAGTGACACAAAATAAACTTCTTTTAACAGCCACCTAAAAACATCTCTTATTTAAAGAGAAATCTGTGACAGGGAGAAAATGTATACAATGTAAGTATTGGGCCTTTTAAAAAGCTCTGTGCATCTTAAAGAGGCCAAAATCCAATGTCTGGTTGCCGTGATCTTTAGGTCCTCAGACGGAGCTGTGTTAAAAACAGACATGATTCTGTTTAGGACATCACTGTACTACAAAGACAGTTAGACAAACATTCATCGTACAGGCCTCTGAGGTCCAGTGGAAATGGGCTGTCAGGTTCACACTTGTAATGCTGATTTTGGTCACAAGGTGGCAGCAATTAAAAATGTATAAATGTCGGCTCGTCAAGTGCATCTTGGTCCTTCTTCCTGCTTAAACAACAAACACTGTGGAGATTTGTGAGAGGGACAGCGCTGTTTTACTCTTAGATGATTGGTTTATATACATCCTGTTAAATTTCAAGAATAAAAACAGAAAAAAAATGATATCTGTATTTATGACCTGTATTAAGAGCTCATGTTGTTGTATCAGGTGTGTGTGTGTGTGTGTGTGTGTGTGTGTGTGTGTGTGTGTGTGTGTGTGTGTGTGTGTGTGTGTGTGTGTGTGTGTGCGTGCGTGTGTGTTTGTGTGTATCTGCATGTGTGTGTGTGTGTGTGTGTGTGTGCTGTTATGGGTATATTATGGGGATATAATTGCAGGTTGTGTAAGGTCTGATATGAACCAACTAATGATATTAAAAAGGCAAACAAAGAAAAGAAACCTCAACACATTAATTCAGGTTTATTTGAAATATACAAAGATTCAAATATTTTGCATTGGGTCTGTAGCATACAGTGTTTGTGCAGAAGTAAGCAAACAACAAGACTGAGACGAAGTATATCCAAAAATATTGTCAATCTTCACCTTAAAGCAAACACTTGTGTAAAAAGCAGGATTGAACTTGATATTCTGACTGTAAGACGTTGGAAAACTTTGGGTTCGTTTTACATCTTGGTTGATTTGAGAAGAAGACATGACAGAAGCTCAGGATTACTCTACATCAGGGGTCCCCAACCATCATGCCTCGGGCCGTTACCGGGCCTTGGGTTGTTTCACACCGGGCCGGTCACACCCAGTGGGAAGCAAGAGGGTGGATGTAATTGCCATAAAGGAACTCCTTTGACTTTTTTTTTTCTGAATTTGATTCAGTAAACGTTTAAATATGAAGATACAAACATTTTACTGATAAGGTCACGTGTGGGTCAAAGCTGCGCATGCTAGTGAGGAGAGAACATGAAGAAACAGATCACATCAACACGTTTTTTTACTTGGGCTCCTGAAAAAAGGCTCATAGACAGTGAAGATATGGAGACATATCTCATTTAGCTCTGACTGCTAACAAACCAAGGCTCCGCAGCAGAGTGGATGTTAGAAACCCGCAGCGCCTTTCACTCGCAGACAAAACGCCATGCTTCGACCACCTTGTCTCCAGAAAACTGGCTCACACTGATGGCGAGTTAAGTTTAGATTTTTTGAGAGTTTTCTACAGTTGTTTGGGTTGCATTATGCTTTTACTGTACTTCATATATCTCAATGTGACATTAGTAGAGGATGGTGTACAATCCGCCCCCACCCCACCGGTCCATCAGAAATATGACAGCTGCTGTCTGGTCCATGATGGGTACCTCTGGTTCTACATCACATCAGTCAACTTCTTCTCTTCTTGAACACACTTTTAAACTGTTAGCATGTCAGTGTGCCTGCAGCTTGCTGTAAGTCATGTCTTTGCTGGCTGCTGCAGTCTGACCCTCATAGATGGTAGAGTAAATATGGTACAAAGACCGCTGGGAAAAGACAGAAACCAACTTGAGCATCTGGTATATCTGGAAAAATGTGATTATTGTTCTTCCTGTCAGACTTACGTTGCTTTTCCGAGACTCACTCCTTTCCATTCCCTCAGAACCTGTGACTGAGGAAGACACACAGATGAGAAAATGTTCCCTATAGCTTCACATTTTACAGCACACTCTGTCCATTAATTAGAACCTTTCAGTCTGATGGATCGATGTTTACGTCCAGAAAAGAGAAATGAATAATGATGCCCTTCATATTGCTGGAGAGCTTGACTGACATTTATTATTTAAATTGTATTTATTTTTCCTTTTTTAAGGGGTGTACTGATTTAAGGGGAGACGAGTCAACTACCAGAGATGGAGGATGATATAATAAAGTAAACTTAGAAACAGGATTGGGAAAGATGGAGTTTTTTAGATGCATTAACTCAATAAAATATTATTTGTGTAGCACATTTCATACAAAATTAAACTCAATATGCTTGACAGAAGAGAAACAAAAACAAACACAATACAATACGGTTGATTTCCAGGTCATTGATCACATAGTGGCAGTTTCAGTGCTGCGGTTTGCTCTGTAACCTGATTGGTACAGATCACACAGACTGTGAATGGATGGTAACCGTAATTGTCTGTAGAATTTGACTGAAGGTTGGAGATTGGTCTGTAGTTGGTAATGATTGATGGGTCAGGTCTGTTGTTTTTATTAGTAAAGGAGTAACTGTAGCATGTTTTAGAGAAGTGGGGAAAACCAGTCTGAAGAGAATCATTTACAACATCATGTAAGTCATGTAACAGGCTGTGAGGGACACATTTACACAGTTTTGTGGGAATAGGGTCAAGAGGAGAGGTAGAGGTAGGTACTGTACAGTACTAACTTGGACACATGTGGGCTGATGAGAGGAGCCTGATAGGGTGGAATTGCTGTTACATGATTTCAAAGTGTAAGTTCTTAAGCTCAAGATTTTATTTTATTTTTTAAATTTTTCTTTATTTTGCAACTGGCGACCTCATTACATTTATTCTTAGAGAGTAATTCCTCAGAATTTGACCTATAAGGATTTAATAGTTTACTAACTGTGAAGAAGAGATAGTGAGTATCATTTGTATTGTAATTTATCATTTTTGAGATGTGTTGCTGTTTTGACATTTTCAGTTATTTTTTTCTGACAGGTCAGTATACTTTTTCTAGATTTAAAAATATATCTGAAGCTTTTAATCTCACCATTTTTGTTCAGCCTTTTCGGTGAGATCTTTTGAGCATACTCACTTGTTCCCCATTCCTCCCAGGAGTCTTTGTTTTTTTTGTTTAATAGTAGACTTTTCTAGTCTTCTGACTACTCAAAGCGCTTTTTACACCTCAGGTCACATCTATTCATTCACACACTGATGACAGAGGTCGTTATGTGAAGTGATCATCAGAAGTAACTAATCCCATTCATACACATGCATACGGCAGCAACGAAGCAGTGGGAGAAACTTGGGTTAAGTGTCTTGCCCTTGCCCACATGTGGCTGCAGGAGCTGGGGTTCAAACCCCCGACTGTCCGGTTGAGAGACGACTCGATCACTGATCCACAGCCGTGTTGTTTTATTGGCTTTTGATGGGAGCAGTGTTGCCAATGATTTGACTAACAACAGAGTTAAATTGGCCCTCATCTCATCACATGATGACATGATTATGGTTCATGTATTAATATACATATCAGTGGTATTGTCATTAATAGAACGCGTATTTGAAATGATAACCACATTGTCATGTCTTGGTTTGCAGGTCATATTAAAAAAGATGCAGAAGTGATCTGAATTGCAACATCGAGAAAAGCAGTAACCGTTATTACTTTACTGTGTCCTTTAAATAGAATCAGGGCGATGGTGTGACCTTATTTTCGTGTGGGCCCCTTAAACCGCTGTGAGAACTCAAATGCTTCTAGCACATTTAATAACAGTTTTGTGTTCAGATTATTGATGTGAATACAAAGTCACCAGAAATTACAACACAGTCATAGGTAATGGAAACTTTTGAATGCATCAATAAAATATGTTCTTAGTTTAGGAGGGTGATACACGGCGAGAAACATTATGGGAACTACAGCTTAGACAACCACCATGGGTGGTTCTGGGCAGGGGCCAACAGGGGGCAGTGCCCCTGTAACACTGAGCTTGGTCCCCCATGTGGCCACCCCTCCAAAAGGAAGAGTCCCCCTAATAACACATACACAGCATTTTAACTCAACAACAATCTACTGTGATATTAACGGAAACAAATGTAAATCATGGTATTTAATGATGTGCACTATTATTTAGCATAATACATACATATATATATATATATATATACATACATATAAAAAAGCGATTATCTTTGTCCATTTTTCACCTTGGTTTAATGTTCCCCTCTAACAAAACAACTGGCCCCAGTTTGGCCCCCTCAGTAAAAGTGGTCTATAACTGCCACTGACAACCACAGCTAAGAATTGAAGGTTGTGAAACACTTTATGTTATTAAGAAATGCACCTCACCTCACCTCCAGCTCACGTTCAGAAGTGCAATGAGATATGAGATATGAGAGTGTTCTCAACGACGCTGTCTCCATGTCTCAGCGTTGTGTTCTACCACACTTGTCTTTTACTCAGTTTGAGCTGCAGCTCTTTGTGGTTATTTATGCGCAAGCTGACATTTACCACAGAAGTTATTTTAATAGGCTAGCTGTGAACCATGTGAACTCAACAGTTGCCATTTTTCCGAGGTCTCCTCAGCGGAGTCTTCAATCATGCTTCACCAAAACCTTTAAAGCTGGGTGCATGTTAGAGCAGCCATTCAAACCTGACCCCTTTTACTGACATCAATGTTTTCTGATGTCTTCTCCAAATGCACCTTCAGTAAATTAAACACTATTTAATTCATTATACTCGAAATGCATTACAATTTAGTTTTAAATGTGTCTGTCTGAAGTAATAACTCTTACAAGTACATATTCAAAGTAGATTTTTAACCCTTCAATAGGGATTAAAGGGACAGCTGTGTCTCAGTGGTAGAGTCGGTTTCTCAACCAGGAGGTCAAGGGTTTGATCCCCAGCTCCTGCAGCCACACTTAACCCCAAGTTGCTCCTGCTGTTAATACTTGTTTGTAAAAGGGATCTTGAATAAATACAATGTCATACCTGGGGTTTTGATGAGTGATGGCATTCTCTGGGTCCTTCTGGACTCTTTCTCTACAATACCTGCAGCAGAAGAGGTTAGAGTGATGTTAATGTCAATCTACATGACAACAAGCATTACACCAGCTGCTTCGTCAGCGGCATATGAATTTGTATGAATGGATTAATTCACACTGATGGACATTGACATTGCAACCTCTACCATCAGTGTGTGAATGTGTAAGTGTGACCTGCAGTGTAAAAGTGCTTTGAGTAGTCAGAAGACGAGGAAAGTGCTATACAAGCTCAAGTACATTTACCATTTTACAATCGCTACTTTTAGAGCTTACAAATATTTCACTACAAAAGAAACACTGAAAGAGTAAAGTTTAAAAGTTTGATATTTCAGTCTTCTACATAACAAAAGATTCTGACTTCATTTGACTCACCAGCTCTTCTTTTCTTCCAAAGAATAACATTAACAATCACTGTGATGACCACAGTAGATCCACAACCAGCGAAAACCCAGACAAACGTCCAATTCCACAATTCTTTAGTATCCGGAGGACTTACAGTCGGACCTTCACAGCCAAAACAGTTTTACAACAAGAAAAAGAGAACAATTTGAGTATATCATGCATTGATATCAATATTGGTTTAACTTTCATTTAATTCCCAGGTGCTGTCTTATTTGAGGCCGCAGTAATACCTGTATCTTAAAAGCACACAAGCACAAAAACATTCAAACGTATCATTATCTTTGAACATAAGTGAAGAAGCATTGACTCTGTAAGTGTCTGACTTTTAACAAGGAATGTTTTTTATTAACCCAGAGTGTTTTGGGCAAAAAGTGGAAAAGACAAAAATCCCAGATGGTTAATGTCCCTCTGTGTACAAGCTCAGTCATAAATGCCCAGATTTACAGTCACTCTGCTGTTAAAACATCACTATTGTACATGATGTTGTCGGGTGACAGCTAGGAAAGACTGGCAGACAACTTGAAAAGACCAGTTGACAGCAGGACAGACTGCAGCAGGAGTGGGCGGCTAGTCACCCTACCCACTTGCAACCTGGAAGCCCCAGGATGCACCCTTCTTGACTACCAAGCAGAACAAAAGTAAACAACCCGAAGGCCCTCCGAGAGAAGATGGGCCTACCAGGACGGAACAAGAGGTAACGACAGGAATGGAAAACCACAATGAGAAAATCCTCCGGAAGTGTATTTGCGGTTGGGAGAAGGTGGCATCATGTAGGGGATTACACATCCATCAGGGGTAGATGAAAGGCAGACAGACCAACGACCTCGCATTGTGCAAGCAGTTCAGACGATAGGGACCCAAAGCCAGGATTGCAATCACAGTGCAACAGGACCCAATGGAGCTGGAATGTTGGAAGTAGCAGAAAGAGGTCCTGTGATGGAGAAGGTACACAGCATAGATGAGGACACAGGCCTACCAGTGGCACGCCCCACTAGTCTGATAGCAAAGCAACCAGGGAGACACATCAAGATCAAGTGGCCAAAAGCGAACGAAGTTGCAGAAACTCGATGCAGACTTGAGCCACCTGCTGGAGCTGTCCTTGAGAGGAGGAATGAAAAGCAAGTGAAGTGTCTTAAATATCTAAGACAGAGATAATATACTGCTCTTTTAAAGTTGTGTAACACACACATCTGGAAAGAATTTGTATCTGACGTGGTATAGGAGTCCCCTCAAGTTGACTGTTTACCTTAAGGTGTTTTGTAAGAGAATTGCCAAATATGATGATGTGTTACATGATGTTTTTGAAGTCCCATAACGACAAGCAGATGTTCCAATGTGGGGTTTGTCCATAAATAAGACTCTCATCCTATGTTCAGGGGAGATCACTTTTGGCTTTGGGTCTTCCGCCAGGCCGAAACATGAGCCTGGAGAAGCTGTATCTTGTTTGTCAATAAAATGATCATTATGTAAGCAAGTCAGTGTCAACGGCGAATTTCTTCATCATCAAACATATCAACAACAAGGGAATCCACATCACAAGCTTAACATCTTCAGTGAGATCATCCATGAGGAGTGCAGAGAGAAGTTTGGGGAAATCAGGAGGAAGCAGAAGGATAGAGAGGGACATAGAACAACTTGTCAGAACCAGGCGCCAACTCAGCCAGAACTGGAGGAAAGCTGCACCCGATGAAAAAGTCGGCCTAAAGGAGCTGTGGGACGAGGTCAAACAGAAGCTTGCCCAGCTGCACAGGACCGAGAGGATCAGAAGGAGGAGGAAGAAGAGAGAGAAGAAGAGAGTGGTAAGCTAGACGCCACCAAGGAGGAGATGGAGCAGTACATGAAGAGCCAGTACAGTGATAGCAGACAAGCTACACCTCGGCTCCCCAGGACATGTGCTATGCCCAGTTCCACCAACCTTGCCATTTGATACCTCCCCACCTAAACTGCATGAGGTTATCAAAAAGGCATCAGCATCAGCCCCTGGACAGAACGGGATCCCCTACAAGCTGTATAAGAACTGTCCCCAGGTAGTGAAACGAACTCCCATACCATCAACCTGTTCAGAAGCATTGCCTTGTTGAATGTGGAGGGGAGGATTTTCTCTTTCTTAGAGGTTAGAGTGATATCAACATCAATGTGCTTGACAACATGGGACATTTCGGGCTTGGAAAAACCTCCTCTCTTGTTGCTGATGGAGCGGACTATAAAACTTTGATGATAAAACCCGATAACTGGAACTGTTAATAACTGCTATGTCGCTATCCAAAAGTGGATTTATATTAATTTACTTGATCCTAATCCTGACAAAACTGAAATATAATTTTATTGTAACAGATACCATCACCACTGTAGTTGATCAGTTAATTGGCTCGTTTCAACCAAATATCAAATCTTGGTATCGTCTTTGACCAACGTATGACTTTGACCATCATACCACTAAGTTTGTCCAGGCAAACTCCTGCTGTGTGGGACTTGTTTAAAGGATAAATCGGGAGTCTGTTGGACTTGAATGTCTGAAAAAATTATGTTTTAACAGGAGTCTGAAGTTTAAGTAAAATGTGGGACTCTAGTTTTATGTGACAGTGCTAGTTAGTAAATGACGGTAAAAGAGTAAGCAACACTAAAATATGTAGTAGGCTATACTCACCTTGATCAGCAGGTGAAGTTACAATAGAAACTGAGGTTGTCAAAGTGCTGAGACTCTCCTTGTTTGGGTTTGTCTCATCTAAAAATAAAATAAAATGTTTTGCTCATGACATTTACACCACAGGGTTTTTCTTCTGCTGTTCCAGCTTGAAGACAGATTTACTTACTTTGAACAGAGATTTAGGAATATTCACTTTCTGGAGATCGAGCATTTCTGTCTCCACTCTGAACAATGTAAAAACATTTCACTTTGACCTCAACAGGTGAACTCTGATGATCCATCTTCAGCAGTTCACTTCCTGTCAGTGTCTGCAGACAGGAAAATGTCTTCACAGTTCTTCCACTTAAAGTGAAGTACTGACACTGAGACACTGATGATGGAGTCTGACAGTTCAGTGTGACTGAGTCTGTCTCTGTGATCACCGCTGGATCACAGTATAATACATGTTCCACCAGTGCTCCCATTAGTATGTTTGTTTTGGTGTTTTTAGGACTATAAACAACAACAGATTATCTTATATAATCACTTTCAAAATAATTATTAAAACACACAAAGCAAATGTAGCCCAAATACATATTAAATATGCAAAAGTATTTTCATTCAAATAAATCACTTGACAAATGTATACTTATAGAGGATGCCTTTTGACAATATTCCAACTCTTTAAATCAGACTGCTTGAACCAATTTGTTTCTTTCTGATTATGTGACAAAATATATGAATATTGAAAACACTTGTATTACTCACTTTGTATGCTGATGGAGACTGTGTCACTGTGTGGAGATGGAAAATGTTTGTCTCCAATCTGAACAATGTAAAAACATTCCACTTTGACCTCAGCAGATGAACTCTGATGATCCATCTTCAGCAGTTCACTTCCTGTCAGTGTCTGCTGACAGGATAATATCCTCACAGTTTCTCCACTTAAAGTTTGGTAATAACACTGAGACACAGATGATGGAGTCTGACAGTTCAGTGTGACTGAGTCTGTCTCTTTGATCACCGCTGAATTCACTGTAAGTTTAGGTGGAAGACGAGCTGAAAATATAAACATAATATGTTTTATCAAACTCAAACATAAGCTGCATATAAATGTTCAAATTCTTCAGTAGTGCAGCGATCACAGCACAGTTAGACATGAACCATGAGAGATCACAGACTGACCTTCTGTTTGAATCCCATTAAAGACATCTGTTTAAAAAACACAGTGAAAGTAAGGTGACTACACATAATAATAACTCCAAGAGTTCACACATTTCAACTCCTCCAACTATTCATTTATTTTAATCAGATGGAAAATTATTAACTGAAACAAAATTATATTTTATTTGTCACAACTGGCAGAACACAAAACACAATATCACCGACTCAAAGCTTAATCACTGATATGATGATATCTGACATGACACATTAACGTCATGTTTCAATCTGCAGAGCTTTATAATAGTCCACAATAATACTGAATAAATCAATAAAGGTTTTACTTACACATGAAGAAGACAAACAGCAGACGTCCGGCCATGATGAAGCTGAACACTGAGACTGTACAGAGGATACGTGTGTGTCTCACTGTGTGGACTTTGTGGTTAATGAGACCAAGTTCTTAAATTAGATACATGAGAACGACAGCTATCAGAAATGAAACCCACTGACAGACAAACCACAGCTTAATATTTAAAGAACCATTTTTAAAAATTGAATATCCCACATTGGAAACTAACATCTGTAGAAAGATGACATAGTGTATGTAGGTGAAACATATGCCTACAGTACACTTCACTAACACACTGAGCTTGTTCATAGTCTGCTCTCACTAAAGACAAAGTTTGTTTCATTTTTTCTTCATTGTTAAAACAGTTTATTCACACATTTGCCTCCTCGAGCTTTATGTTTCTTCTGGTTGTTCAAAGTGACTGATCTCAAGTTTTTAGTCATTGTATGAACAATATTTTATATACAGTTGTGATAGATTTGTGTCTCAGTATATTGTAGTTTGTTTTCATTTATTTTATTCTGGTCATTGCAGTGAACAGCTGTTCAAAAAGCTGTTTCCTGCTAAAGAATCTAATTTACAAGAGTGTCCTGACCAAGAGGGGCAGCAGCACAACAAGCATGTTACAGACATAAAACACAGAGTAATTACAAACACAGATCAACATGTCCTGAGTCACAGAGAAGAAAAGTCATTATTTAAAGCATCTCGCATTTTCCTCCAACACCTTCAATCCACTTTAAAAATGATAAAAAGAGAGACCAGCTCCCCAAGACAAAGATCATCCTGAAGGAGATTCCAGCCAGCAGGAGCAGCGCACCTGAGACTCCTTTTCCCCGTTTAAAGACACAGTTTGGGAACAGATAACAATACGTTTTGTGACTGGCTCGTAGAGCAAAGACCTAGCTTCCAGTCGCATGAATACAATTACACAAGTGTGAGGGAAGCAGGTTAAAGGGATACTTCACCCATTTGCATTAAGCTTTGTATCATTAGAAACCTGGTAGTATTTTTGAATGGTCGTGCATCCCGCCCTCATTTTCCCCTGAGATGGGAAATCTTTGTATTTCTAAGTCTGAAAAGGAGCTTCCAGTGACGCAAAATGCCGATTTTTGAATCACTGGAAACTGTTGTGGTTAGCGGGGTGAAACTACAACGCTAGTTCCTCATATTTTCGACCACTGAAGCTACAGACCAATCACAGATCAGTGGGTGGGAACTCGCTCCCAGAATCTAAACTTAACGTCCACCATATTGCTTGGAAGCCTGTCGGCAGCAACCGTCTCTATATTGCTATATTGCCGTCGCTGGCCACCGCCAGCTCAGCAGCAGAGACATGATGCCTGCCTGTCGGCGGCGGTGAAGACGAGGAGCCGGGGCCGGCTTGAGCTGGGGCGGACTAGTAGTGTCGGTGCTCTCACTGTTTGCCTATGGACACAGACATAGAGTCCGTTTTCTGCCAGAAATTTTCTTAGATCAATTCTGGAAGAAATCTCTGAATCAGTTGAGGAAACGTCCTTATGTGTTGAAGTAAATATGTCTGTAAATGTTTTTATTACTATATTTCTACTGCTATACTGTATATTTTGGAGAAACTGTAACGATCGAATTTCCCTCTGGGATTAATAAAGTATTTCTGATTCTGAATTAGAGGACCTTAGTGGGAGTGGCCTGCGGTGCATTCTGGGATTTGGTGTCTTTCATCAGCATGAGCCAAAAAGACACTTTCTGCCTTTTCACGGCCAAGAAGGCACCAACTTCAAAATGTATTTCACATTTCTACATATATGACCCAACGGGTGAAGTGTCCCTTTAAGTATAGCCTTATAAATAAGGACATGCCAATGAGTTTGTCTACTCATGGACAATGCAGGCCAGCCGCTTGATCATACAGTACAATCAAATCATCAATCAATCAGAGGCATAATGTAGCATCAACAAGTCATTTCAACATCAAGTAAAAACTAAGGAACGATATTATTGTTGAATTTCTAGATATTGATTTTAGATTTGGAGAGACTTTGCTGATCTTCACAATATTTGATGGGGATTCAAACTTTTTTTTTTTAATTAATAGATTTATGTTTTTAAACTATGACTAAGATTCATTTTTTACATACATTATTTTTTCTGTGAGTTATTACATACTGTAGGTTTCATTGAAGGTGTTAATTCAGCAAGAGCTTAAGTCTGAATTCAAACCCCAGCTCTCCCACAATGTTTGCTCTCCCATTAACCCTTAAATGTCTGCTGTTGTGCTATTCTGGCAGCAACCAGGAAAAACCTGTGGAGGCATTTTGACCCAATCAAGCTTTTCCCTTTTTTTCCTTTTATAGCAGAAACAACTTCAAAAATGAAAGACAGAAAACCTTTAAAATTCAAATTCAAGAAACTCAAAAGGACTAAATCCAGCCCATTGGACATATGGACACAGTGGATGGCTGTTGCTCAGAAATAGAGTTGGTCATTTCTCAACAGGAAGGTCGGGGCTTCTATCCTCAGCTCCTGCAGTCACATGCCGATGTGTCTCTGGGCAAGACACTTAACCCCAAATTGCTCCCAACTGCTTCATTTGTTGGCACATGAATGTGTATGAATGGGATTACTTCTGATAGACACGTAACATAGCAGCCTCTTCCATCAGTGTTTGAATGTGTAGGTGTGACCTGCAGTGTAAAAGCTCTTTGAGTAGTTAGAAGACTAATAAAGCACTATACAAGCCCAAGTCCATTTACCATTTGCATGTGACAAACAGAAAATGTGTTTTATAAAGAAACAAAAACTATTTGTTTTTTCCATTCATAAAAAAATGAATAATAGTAATTTTAGCATGATGTCCACTCTAGTGGACACTTCTGTGACTTCTTCAAATGTATAAATAATAGAGAAACGTCTAAAGTTTTGTGTTTAGTAGGGGCGCTGGTGGCGCAGTGGTTAGTGAGTGCGGGCGGCCCGGGTTCACATCCCACCTGTGGCTTCTTTCCTGCATGTCGTTCCCCACTCTCTCTCCCTGATTTCTGACTCTATCCACTGCCCTATCTCTCCATTAAAAGCCCAAAAATAAATCTTTAAAGTTTTGTGTTTAGCAGTGTGCTACATTGGTGGACCATAAGCGCTTTGGAAACAACCCTTACATTCATTCCTCCACCTCTGTGCCCATCTCTACATCCCGTCATCTATCGACCCTCATAACATCGCTTCATCCAACTTCACTCATTACTTTTATCTCTGCCATGCTCATTACGATACTCATTCTAAATTCAGATTTTTCTTGGCTTGGTCTTTGAACATATAGTTGTGATCGATTTCTGTCTCTATGGTGGTTTCCTTGTTCTCCTCTTTGTATTGTATTGTAGTGTGTTTGTATTTTTTCCCATCCCTTTGTGTTTAGTCAGGGTACATATGTGGATCATGACCACTTTAAAAACAAATATCAAGCTGAAGTTAACATGAAGAGCAGAAACATAGTTTGTTGTTATGTAGGATATATTTATTATTTCAAACATTGTGATACAGGAGATATTATCTTCTAACTTTATTCAGTTTCTGATTTCTTTGTTTCTATCAATGCAGTAGACCAGTTCACCGTGCTAATGTCTACTTTGATAAAGATGTTATTCATTTAAGCAATGAAGCTGTACATGAGAAATAAATGTGATAATAATACAGGAAACAACATTTTCCTCTGAGCTAATGTCAGAGAGCTTTGAACACTCTGTATCTCTCTGAGCTGATGTAGCCTTCATCTCTGAGGTGCTGCAGTTTTCACTCTGAGAGAAATAAGAAGCACACACTGCTTAGTCGCCCTCATTGAGGTCTGAATACCTGCCAGCATTTTGTGTTTTTTCTTATCAAGTTATGATGTTTCTCAACTCACCAATGTTGCATTCATAGAAGACGATACTGTAAATTTCATCATAACCACCCTAAAAATAAAAAATAAAGTATAAACATACAATATGTCCAAATCATCTTAATGATCATCATCATAGTTTCAAAATCACCATCATTTATTCAGACTCTCAGTATCACCCACCCTCTCCTACCAACAATCACAGTCTGCCTTTAGCTGTCCTATTAATGAAGGGGGACCAGCAGCCTCCCCACCTTGATGTAGGAAGCAGGCCAGATTATGATCAGTAAACAATTATGTGTCCCATCACTATCTCCATCAATAAATCTTATTGTGAAGTGGCTCAGTGCAAGAGTTGGTCATCTCTCAACCAGAAGGTTGGGGGTTCAATCCCCAGCCCCTGCATCTACATGTTCAATGGGTCCTTGGTAAGACACTTAAGCCCAAATTGCTCCCACTGCTTCACCAGCGGTGTATGAATGGGATAAGTTACTGCCTCTGTTATCAGTGTGTGAATGTGTAGGTGTAAAAGTGCTTTGAGAAGTTAGAAGACTAAAAGGATGCTATACAAGCTCAAGTCTATTTTTCGATTTACAATAAACTGCATCTGGAAGATTTAGAGTGGAGTCGACTAAACTTTCATAGATTTCATCCCAATAATCTGTCACACAGGGATAAACTGCTTCAAAATCTATTGTGTTATGAATAAAGGAAAATAGTCTCTTTTTTTTCAAATGAAAGTTATCTCAGATTTCATAACAGCATGTCTCTGGGGTTAAAAAAATGTTTTTATATTGATTCATGATGTTTACAACAGATCAATAGTTTGAATGAAAGGGTATCAGAAGCTCAAAACAAGACAACAAATAATGAGAAAAGTCCATCCTCTCTGTCTTTAGCCTGCTCCACCTTTCAGACAATGTGTGCTCAAACAGGCTGTTTGGAGATTTTCTCTTCATGACATCACAAAGAAACTTCACAGATATGTTTGGGGAGCTCTGAGATTTATTTTAACTTTTTGAAAAGGAGTATAATATGTGACCTGTAATATAATTGTTAATTAAACGGGTACAGGGACTGAACCTTGATGATGTTTTTGTTGTTGTTGGAATTACTGTGTGCTGGAAAATGTTACAGTTGAAGCAGGTTTGACATTTACAATCATTGGTGAGACTTACCATATATTTCTGATCATCTAAAACAAAGACAATTAGCATTTTAATGCAGTGAAGTGTATACACAGACATGTAATTAAATGTTAAACCAACATATTCTACTGTATTTGGCTTGGTCTCTTCAATACAGGAGTGAGCTACATACCTTTGGATTTACCTGCGATGTTTGCTTTTGTTCTGAATGAAAAAAGAGACATAATAGATTGGGTTTGGTTAAAAAATATCCTTACTGAAGAGGAAGCAACAGCACAGAACACATTTCTCAATGTACTGTGTTAAGTCTGATCCACACTTAGGTTTTCAACATCATATTTGAGACAACAACAATCACATAATGAACAGTTTTGATCCTATAGTGTGCAGAGCAACGATATGACCTAAACACTAACACTGTGATGCTCTCAACCTGCGGCAAAAATCCCCAAAAATGATTTACAAAGGAAAACATTGTCAGCAGAAATGATTAAGTCTCATCATCACAGTGTTTCCCACATAAAGGAAACTCTAGAGAGTGAGAGAGAAATCAGCTGGTACATCCCCGCTGTAAATGCACCGATTCCTTCTTTTAATATTTTACTGCAGCTGCTGTCCTGCACTCATAGTTTATGATGATTGTTGTGATACGCATCATCATCAATAAGCCTCCACACACGAAGATCACCTGATGTGATTACAGAATATCGAGTGAAACATTTGAAATGCAGGTCATCTTATTTGAGCTTCTTTAGCATACTTTTAATGTGTGTGTGTGTGTGTGTGTGTGTGTGTGTGTGTGTGTGTGTGTGTGTGTGTGTGTGTGTGTGTGTGTGTGTGTGTGTGTGTGTGTGTGTGTGTGTGTGTGTGTGTGTGTGTGTGTGTGTGTGTGTATTTGTGTGTTTGTGTGTGTGTGTGTGCGTAGATAAGAGAACGGAAGGGAAGTAAGATAAGCAGATTAAAGTAGTTTATGACACAAATTATAATAAGTATGAAAAAAAAACACAATTAATATAAATATGTTTTTACAAACATTAGGTTTATATATAACCAAAGCTAATATAAACAAGGTACGATGACTTTTTATCGGATTCAGCATGGTTAATTATTGGATGGCGTTCTAAACTAAAAAAGTTGTCACTATTACTCTGCTGACTCACTTTTATCTAAATATTTGCTGATTCAGCTTTCTCCACCGACTCAATCTTTTCCTGATGCCTTTGATTTATCTTTTGACAACTTGTTGACCAACTTATTGTTTTCACATGTTTGTATCTGAAGTTCTTCTTCTACATGTTGACCAAATATATATGTGAAAAAAGTTGTCTTACCTTTTGGAATCACATTTATCTAAAAAAAAAAAAAAAAAAGTAGTTATTGATATCAGCAAGCTTCCACAAAACCCTCTTAACAGGAATACCGCATGTTAACTACCGCCAGCTTCCTTTAAGAGAATCAAAAGTTGTTTCATATGAAATATTTTCTTCAACTACAAATGGGTGTAAATAGTTCCCAGTTTTTTTTTTATTTGAGATATTAATGATTTGTCATTTTACCAATTCTGCTCTGAGCAAAGAGAAGGGCCAATCCCAGCAGGAGGACACCCCCTGTCACAGCTGCTGCGATCACCCACATGATCTTCTCTGCATTAAGAGAAGAGGCAGTTAAAAAGTGTCACCTTACACAGGTTACATTAAACGACTGAAGACTAAGGGCACGCTCACACTAGGCAAAGTTGTCCCTTACCGTGCTTAAAGGTCCCATATTATGCTTTTTCTGGTTTTATATGCTCTTTAGTGTATTTTCCAAGTGTCCTGTGCATGTTTAGGCACATCTATTTGCAAAAATTCAAAGTCTTCTCCTACGTCCTCCTGTTAGCTGTAGCATTAGCTGCATGTAACGCTCGGTTCTAGCCCCCCTCGAAAAAAAATTGCCAGTGTGACGTCATTGTCAGTGTGATATGACTGATCTAAGCCCATTGGCTCGTTGTGGCGAGCCCAGCAGCTCATGTTGCACGCCCGTTAACTTCTGTAGCACGCCCACAATATGCCGTAGCCTGCGGTAGCACAGTAGTGCTAAGGTGCTAATGTTTATGCTCCCCTCGGACGGAGCCAAAGTGGTTGCATTCCCAATACGGTAAAAGGGGCGTGACATTTCCGAGAACCGTGCTGAGCGACTGACCAATAACGGCAGAGCCGACCAATCAGATCAGACTTGGCACACGTGGGGACTCTGATTGTGGGCACTTCAGAGCCTTAGAGAGAGAGTCAGAAGCGAGCCGGTGCATGGAGCGGCAGTACATGAAAACAGACACTTTTTTAGAACTTTAGCTATTGTAAACATACTTTAGTAGGTACATAGATTAAATATATGAACCCCAAAAAGGGCAGAATATGGGCTCTTTAAGTAGGGTAGCCACCCCTCCCCATTCCTCCACTGGCCTGCACTCACGCTGCTCCAGGACTAACCGGATTGCCGAGTGTGAGTGCGCCCTAACACAGCCGTCTCCACAACAACAACACTGGTGTTTAGCACAAACAGCCACCACAAGACCTACAACCAGCCGTACTACGACTGGATTAGAGACATGTTAACATTCTTTACACCAAAGTGAACACCTGAAGAAGAACTATGGTCAAAAACCTTGTGTTTCAATTAAATCTTTTGGAGGCATTTGAGCGAGCGGGAATTTCTTCTCTTCTCTAATGTTCTGTATACACAGATGTTTTTTAAAGCCATCTGGGGGGAAAATGTTAGATTCACCCAAAGTTGAAACCATTTTGACTTGGTCCAAGCTCGAAACATCAGTCAGGAGAATTTATAATAAATCTCATCTTAACATCTTAACATTTTGATTTACTAAACATGGTCTACTCTTCTTTCTCCACCAGATGCTGCATAGAGCTCATATTGTATCTGTTTCCTTAAGGCCTAGTAAATAACATTAAGACTGTACTGTCTATACTTTTCTTGAACAAAACATGGAACAACAAATGTCTTAGAGCCTCAGAGGAGTGAATTTGTCTGATTTTGACGAGACTTGCATGTCAACGTCATCAGTATATGAGTGTGTGGGTAAATATGTTGAAGTTGTGCTTTAAAGACTTAACAAATGTCAGAGAGCACCACATGTATATAAATCACTCACATTAGACCAACCAATAAGCAACCAGTATGTAAGAACAATCTGACAGACATTTAAGTTGTCCACTTTGTAAAATACGTTACCTGATTCTGGTGTCCCTGGTGTTTGGGAGGTAACAGTGGAACCACCATTTATACTTGTGCCCATAGTCCAACCTGTTCCATAAGGAAAGTACATTTCAAAATAAGTTTGTTTTAAAGGAGTCACCAGAGTAGAAGCAACAGAGCTGGGAACAGTCAGACCTGGCCAATAAAAATACCTCTTTAATTTTTTACAGGTCATCAAAGTTGTTAATGGAAGTTTTCTTGAATAATAAAATGTTCTACAGTAGTTGTGACAAATGATGGTGTTTTCTGGATCCTGCTTGACTCTCTCTCCACAATACCTACAGTAGCAGGAGACAGATTAGGGCTCACCAATTCCTACTTTTTAGATTGGTTGGTGACTTTTCTTAGCAGCCTTGATATTAGTTAATTAGTATTTGTACATATGTTAGTATGAATCTTAGAGATGGGCCGGGATGCATAACTTAGTTTTTTAGGTTGATGCTAACACATACTGGAAAATGTCATTAACTGGCTAACTTAATTAGCACTGCAATAATTTAAACTTAGGGAACAATATATTTTATTTTACATACTAAACAAACAACACCGTAGTCACTTGACTTACAGGCTTGTATAAAACTAAACTCTGTGCAGACAAACTTAAAACTGCTGACTCATGCTAGTCTGGTCTCAATGCTCTGATCTAGTAACACTGCATGACTTGCTCTTAATGTCTCAGTTCACGGGACATAACTGAAACATTAAAAGTGTTTCAGCCCAGCTTCTCAGTTCAATTTTGACTGTGACACAGAGGATAATGGCGGAGGCACGGTGGGGATGAGAAAGTCAGGCATCAATCTTGTAGGGGACTGGTTGCTGCCACTTTTCTGCCTGTGCTGAACTATTGTGATGTTAAACATATGCACACTGTTTCTCAAAGCTAACTCTGGACTCTGTATCACAGAGTTCTGCGGTTCATCACTCCTTTCATCACTTCATTTTCTGTCATACCTCCTGACCTCCATCAGTCAGATGAGAAGAGGAACTCATAATCTTCTCACAAACTTTCTTCGCTGTCTGTTCCAAAGGTGGGAACTGAACTGGGGAAAAAGTTGTTTAAGTTTGCTGCCCCTGTTACTTGGAAGGAATTACATCTGGAGTGGACAGATGTGCAAAAACTGGAATGGCTGTTTAAGTTTGAATCATTTTGTTTCAAAAGCCTGGAAAAGAAGACAGGATATTCTGTTTAATTAGTTTGACTTGCTTTTGCTTTCTCTTTTTGTTTCTTACCAATGAACATAGTTTACCTAATGCACTCTGATCCTGGAACGTTTTAATTTATGGTGTCACGTAAGCCCATGTGGGCTAGGCATATGAATGTATGTGACAAAATAATGAAATAAAAAAACTTCAAACTACAAACATACCTGAAACCTAACTAGCTGCTCTCATGTTTTAAGAGGATGTTAAATGACTTGGAAGAGGACACATCTGGCTGTAGATGTTCCCTTCTGATATATGCATGTTTGTGGGCGATACTGACAACTATTTGAGGATTAAATTTGTCATTTTGTATATTTTGGTTTTTAATAGTTATGTATTATATTAGTATTTAAGGCAGCACGTTGTTTGTCAGAAACTCTGAAAATTGTGCTGCTGCCTGTCTTGGCCAGGACACTCTTAAAAAAAGAGATTTTTATTCTCAGATTTTTTTCTGATTAATTAGTATAAAGGGTCACTCAATCAATTCTGACTTTTAAAAACAAAAACACTCTTCATTAAATTCTGAAACGGGCGAGCAAATTTAAAGATGAGTCTCAATCAAACCTGTCAGAATTGTATTCTTAACAGCTGCAGTTTAAGGCAAGCTCTATTATCCAAGACAAGTGGCTTCTTCACTCTATCTGTCAGGTTGGTGTTCAGTTGATAGAGTCCATCGTCTCTCAACCGGAAGGTTGGAGGTTCGATCCCCAGCTCCTGCAGTTACATGTCCGATCTTACACTTTTGATTTGTTGTCTGTGTAAGGACTTTGCTCTTTGAAAATGTTTGTTCTAATGTATTCTGTCTGGTCTTTTTAACCTTGAATTTGTTATGTGTTGTGTGTATCTAATGGAGTGCTGAATCTCCTGTCTTGCACAACAAATTAATCTATGAAGGTACAAATAAGGAAACCTTGAACCTTGAAACTTGAACCTTGAACCTTGACTATAGCTAGCTGCATACAGATGGCTTCCCTCCACTGCTTTTTTGCAGAAGCTCTGCGTCCTGGGCAGCTTTGCTTTATCCTCTATAGGATTAATAGCATAGTCATCTCCTCCAACCCCCGTCACCAGGATGGATTGTGAACTCCTCAAAGTAATACTTGACTGCCTTATTGAAGTTTAACCCATTCAGATTTTTCACAAAATCCATCTTTAGGCCGATCACTCTGTATCTCTATACTCGTGTCCTCTGGGAAAGACGATTTCATTATGATTTCACCATTATGCCAACGATACTCTAAATATTAAGATATTTTAGCAAAACCCGAAAAAAAACCTCTTCTGCTTTTTGCTGATGGAGGGGACTAAAAAACTTTGATGATAAAACCCAATAATAAGGAATCAACTGTCCTCTCATAACTGTTAATAACTGCTTTGTCGCTATCCAAAAGTGGATTTATCTTAATTTACTTAATCCTAATCCTGACAAAACTGAAATATCATTTTATTGTAACAGATACCATCACCACTGTAGTTGATCAGTTAATTGGCTCGTTTCAACCAAATATCAAATCTTGGTATCGTCTTTGACCAACGTATGACTTTGATCATCATACCACTAAGTTTGTCCAGGCAAACTCCTGCTGTGTGGGACTTGTTTAAAGGATAAGTCAGGAGTCTGTTGGACTTGAATGTCTAAAAAAAATACGTTTTAACGGGAGTCTGAAGTTTAAGTAAAATGTGGGACTGTAGTTTTATGTGACAGTGCTAGTTAGTAAATGATGGTAAAAGTGAAAGCAACACTAAAATATGTAGTAGGCTATACTCACCTTGATCAGCAGGTGAAGTTACAATAGAAACTGAGGTTGTCAAAGTGCTGAGACTCTCCTTGTTTGAGTTTGTCTCACCTAAAAATAAAATCAAATGTTTTGTTCATGACATTTACACCACAGGGTTTTTCTTCTGCTGATCCAGCTTGAAGACAGATTTACTTACTTTGAACAGAGACAGAGGAATATTCACTTTCTGGAGATCGAGCATTTCTGTCTCCACTCTGAACAGTGTAAAAACATTTCACTTTGACCTCAGCAGGTGAACTCTGATGATCCATCTTCAGCAGTTCACTTCCTGTCAGTGTCTGCAGACAGGAAAATGTCCTCACAGTTCCTCCACTTAAAGTGAAGTACTGACACTGAGGCACATATGATGGCGTCTGACAGTTCAGTGTGACTGAGTCTGTCTCTTTGATCACTGCTGGATCACAGTATAATACATGTTCCACCAGTGCTCCCATTAGTATGTTTGTTTGAGTGTTTTTAGGACTATAAACGACAACAGATTATGTTATATAATCACTTTCAAAATAATTATTAAAACACACAAAACAAATGTAGCTCAAATACATCTCAAATCTGCAAAAGCATTTTCATTCAAATAAATCACTTGACAAATGTATACTGATAGAGGATGCCTTTTGACAATATTCCAACTCTTTAAATCAGACTGCTTGAACCAATTTGTTTCTTTCTGATTATGTGACAAAATATATGAATATTGAAAACACTTGTATTACTCACTTTGTATGCTGATGGAGACTGTGTCACTGTGTGGAGATGGAAAATGTTTGTCTCCAATCTGAACAATGTAAAAACATTCCACTTTGACCTCAGCAGATGAACTCTGATGATCCATCTTCAGCAGTTCACTTCCTGTCAGTGTCTGCTGACAGGATAATATCCTCACAGTTTCTCCACTTAAAGTTTGGTAATAACACTGAGACACAGATGATGGAGTCTGACAGTTCAGTGTGACTGAGTCTGTCTCTTTGATCACCGCTGAATTCACTGTAAGTTTAGGTGGAAGACCAGCTGAAAATATAAACCATGAAAATGTTTTATCAAACTCAAACATAAGATGCATATAAATGTTCAAATTCTTCAGTAGTGCAGCGATCACAGCACAGTTAGACATGAACCATGAGAGATCACAGACTGACCTTCTGTTTGAATCCCATTAAAGACATCTGTTTAAAAAACACAGTGAAAGTAAGGTGACTACACATAATAATAACTCCAAGAGTTCACACATTTAAACTCCTCCAACTATTCATTTATTTTAATCAAAAGTAGAATTATTAAGTGAGACAAAAATAGATTTTATTTGTAACAACTGGCAGAACACACAAAACACAATATCACCGACTCAAAGCTTAATCACTGATATGATGATATCTGACATGACACATTAACATCATGTTTCAATCTGCAGAGCTTTATAATAGTCCACAATAATACTGAATAAATCAATAAAGGTTTTACTTACACATGAAGAAGACAAACAGCAGACGTCCGGCCATGATGAAGCTGAACACTGAGACTGTACAGAGGATACGTGTGTGTCTCACTGTGTGGACTTTGTGGTTAATGAGACCAAGTTCTTAAATTAGATACATGAGAACGACAGCTATTACCAGAAATGAGACCCACTGACAGACAAACCACAGCTTAATATTTAAAGAACCATTTTTAAAAATCGAATATCCCACATTGGAAACTAACATCTGTAGAAAGATGACATAGTGTATGTAGGTGAAACATATGCCTACAGTACACTTCACTAACACACTGAGCTTGTTCATAGTCTGCTCTCACTAAAGACAAAGTTTGTTTCATTTTTCTTCATCATTAAAACAGTTTATTCACACATTTGCCTCCTCGAGCTTATGTTTCTTCTGGATGTTCAAAGTGAGTGATCTCAAGTTTTTAGTCATTGTATGAACAATATTTTATATACAGTTGTGATAGATTTGTGTCTCTTGTATTATAATGTGTTTAATATTGTAGTTTGTTTTCATTTTTTAAATTCTGGTCATTGCAGTGAACAGCTGTTCAAAAAGCGGTTTCCTGCTAAAGAATCTAATTTACAAGAGTGTCCTGACCAAGAGGGGCAGCAGCACAACAAACATGTTACAGACATAAAACACAGAGTAATTACAAACACAGATCAACATGTCCTGAGTCACAGAGAAGAAAAGTCATTATTTAAAGCAGCTAGCATTTTCCTCCAACACCTTCAATCCACTTTAAAAATGATAAAAAGAGAGACCAGCTCCCCAAGACAAAGATCATCCTGAAGGAGATTCCAGCCAGCAGGAGCAGCGCACCTGAGACTCCTTTTCCCCGTTTAAAGACACAGTTTGGGAACAGATGACAATACGTTTTGTGACTGGCTCGTAGAGCAAAGACCTAGCTTCCAGTCCTTTTCGCATGAATACAATTACACAAGTGTGAGGGAAGCAGGTTAAAGGGATACTTCACCCATTTGCATTAAGCTTTGTATCATTAGAAACCTGGTAGTATTTTTGAATGGTCGTGCATCCCGCCCTCATTTTCCCCTGAGATGGGAAATCTTTGTATTTCTAAGTCTGAAAAGGAGCTTCCAGTGACGCAAAATGCCGATTTTTGAATCACTGGAAACTGTTGTGGTTAGCGGGGTGAAACTACAACGCTAGTTCCTCATATTTTCGACCACTGAAGCTACAAACCAATCACAGATCAGTGGGTGGGAACTCACTCTCAGAATCTAAACTTAACGTCCACCATATTGCTTGGAAGCTATGCTAACAGGCTCTATGGAGAAAGCTGATAATGGCGAAAAAATATAAATATAGTGGCGAGATGGCTGATGCCGACAGGCCGGTTTTGTGTTTTGGCTGCCACGAGCCCAGCCCCCCGAGCCCTGACCCCAGGAGCCCCCGGGAGCCCGGCTGCGACATAAGACCGGCCTGTCGGCAGCAACCGTCTCTATATTGTTATATTGCCGTCGCTGGCCACCGCCAGCTCAGCAGCAGAGACATGATGCCTGCCTGTCGGCGGCGGTGAGGATGAGGAGCCGGGGCCGGCTTGAGCTGGGGCGGACTAGTAGTGTCGGTGCTCTCACTGTTTGCCTATGGACACAGACATAGAGTCCGTTTTCTGCCAGGAATTTTCTTAGATCAATTCTGGAAGAAATCTCTGAATCTGTTAAGGAAATGGTCTTATGTGTTGAAGTAAATATGTCTGTAAATGTTTTTATTACTATATTTTTACTGCTATACTGTATATTTTGGAGAAACTGTAACGATCGAATTTCCCTCTGGGATTAATAAAGTATTTCTGATTCTGAACTAGAGGACCTTAGTGGGAGTGGCCTGCGGTGCATTCTGGGATTTGGTGTCTTTCATCAGCATGAGCCAAAAAGACACTTTCTGCCTTTTCACGGCCAACTTCAAAATGTATTTCACATTTCTACATATGACCCAATGTCAATACAGATTCATGTTTCAACGAGTGAAGTGTCCCTTTAAGTATAGCCTTATAAATAAGGACATGCCAATGAGTTTGTCTACTCATGGACAATGCAGGCCAGCCGCTTGATCATACAGTACAATCAAATCATCAATCAATCAGAGGCATAATGTAGCATCAACAAGTCATTTCAACATCAAGTAAAAACTAAGGAACGATATTATTGTTGAAATTCTAGATATTGATTTTAGGTTTGGAGAGACTTTGCTGATCTTAACAATATTTGATGGGGATTCAAACTTTTTTTTGAAATTAATAGATTTATATTTTTAAACTATGACTTGAAAGATTCATTTTTTACATCCATTATTTTTTCTATGAGTTATTACATACTGTAGATTTCATTGAAGGTGTTAATTCAGCAAGAGCTTAAGTCTGAATTCAAACCCCAGCTCTCCCACAATGTTTGCTCTCCCATTTTTTAGGAGAAACAACTTCAAAAATGAAAGACAGAAAACCTTCAAAATTCAAATTCAAGAAACTCAAAAGGACTCAATCCAGCCCATTGGACATATGGACACAGTGGATGGCTGTTGCTCAGAAATAGAGTTGGTCATTTCTCAACAGGAAGGTCGGGGCTTCTATCCTCAGCTCCTGCAGTCACATGCCCGATGTGTCTCTGGGCAAGACACTTAACCCCAAATTGCTCCCAACTGCTTCATTGTTGGCACATGAAGTTTATGAATGGGATTACTTCTGATAGACACGTAACATAGCAGCCTCTTCCATCAGTGTTTGAATGTGTAGGTGTGACCTGCAGTGTAAAAGCTCTTTGAGTAGTTAGAAGACTAATAAAGCACTATACAAGCCCAAGTCCATTTACCATTGCATGTGACAAACAGAAAATGTGTTTTATAAAGAAACAAAAACTATTTGTTTTTTTCCATTCATAAAAAAATAAATAATAGTAATTTTAGCATGATGTCCACTCTAGTGGACACTTCTGTGACTTCTTCAAATGTATAAATAATAATAAAAAACGTCTAAAGTTTTTTATTTAGTAGTATGCTACATTGGTGGATCATAAGTGCTTTGGAAACAACCCTTACATTCATCCCCTCATCTATCGACCCTCATAATCATCCCTTCATCCAACTTCACTCATTAATTTATCTCTGCCATGCTCATTACAATACTCATTCTAAATTCAGATTTTTCTTGGCTTGGTCTCTGAACATATAGTTGTGATCATTTTCTGTCTCTATGGTGGTTTCCTCGTTCTCCTCTTTGTATTGTATTGTAGTTTGTTTATATGTTTTTTCCCATCCCTTTGTGTTTAGTCAGGGTACATATGTGGATCATGAACACTTAAAAAACAAATATCAACCTGAAGTTAACATGAAGAGCAGAAACCATAGTTTGTTGTTATGTAGGATATATTTATTATTTCAAACATTGTGATACAGGAGATATTATCTTCTAACTTTATTCAGTTTCTGATTTCTTTTTTCTATCAATGCAGTAGACCAGTTCACCATGCTTAATGTCTACTTTGATAAAGATGTTATTCATTTAAGCATGAAGCTGTACATGAGAAATAAATGTGATAATGATACAGGAAACAACATTTTCCTCTGAGCTAATGTCAGAGAGCTTTGAACACTCTCTGTATCTCTCTGAGCTGATGTAGCCTTCATCTCTGAGGTGCTGCAGTTTTCACTCTGAGAGAAATAAGAAGCAGACACTGCTTAGTCGGCCCTCATTGAGGTCTGAATACCTGCCAGCATTTGGTTTTTTCTTATCAAGTTATGATGTTTCTCAACTCACCAATGTTGCATTCATAGAAGACGATACTGTACGTTTCATCATAACCACCCTAAAATAAAAAATAAAGTATAACATACAATATGTCCAAATCATCTTAATGATCATCATCATAGTTTCAAAATCACCATCATTTATTCAGACTCTCAGTATCACCCACCCTCTCCTACCAACCAATCACAGTCTGCCTTTAGCTGTCCTATTAATGAAGGGGACCAGCGGCCTCCACCTTGACGTAGGAAGCAGGCCAGATTATGATCAGTAAACAATGTGTCCATCACTATCTCCATCAATAAAATCTTATTGTGAAGTGGCTCAGTGCAAGAGTTGGTCATCTTTCAACCAGAAGGTTGGGGGTTCAATCCCCAGCCCCTGCATCT